AGCAATGCAGCTGAGAGCCAAGGAGCCGGGCCTGGCTGAACATCAGGCCCATCGCCCCCTTGGCTGGTGCCAACCTGCACACCGTCTCCAGGGCCCTGCAGGCAGAACGAGGGAGGTGGAAAATCAGCCTTTCCAAGTCCTCGGGTCAGGAAGAGACTGAATATGTGGACGGAAAATGAGGCTCAGAAAAGAAAAACCTCTTTGCGTGCATATTATCTGCAACAAATCAAAACAAATATGCAAGCATCTCCCTGAAACTACTGGGAAGAAAAGGGAACACTATTTTTTTTTTTTAGTAACATACCCGCTACTACTAATTTAAAATGTGCAAAATGCCAATCGTGTTGCCTTTTTATAGACATCAGTTTTAGGATTAATGTAATAATAAAAAGGCTTTTCATATATTTTCCCCACTCAGAATCTTATTTTTCCACAAGATCTCACACTCTGCAAAAGCAAATTTTCCTGTCTCCCCACCAAAACCTCGTCATAGTTCGGCCTGGTGAAAAGTATTTCCAGGCCCCTCAACTGGGGTGGATGAGCTAAAAGCCTTGATTTACACGGGATTCTGTTGACATGCAACATTTTCTGCACCACTAGCCCCGTCATGTAGTATCTCCCACCCACCCGTCTGCGCCTCAGCCCTTGGATGGCAGAAACTGCTATGTTCCTGGTGTTCAATTAAGCATTTGATGAACCAAACCAAACTGAACGGGAAGGTTGCCTGAAATAAAGGCTTCTTGAGGCAGAAGGACTGAGGGGAGCCTTGGAGGATGGGCAGAGGTCTCTATACTGCAGGCCGTGGGGAGCTACCCAAAGGGAGTAGTTGTCGTGGCTTTGGAAGGTTCACCCTGGAAGCAGAAAAAGGTGGGCATGTTTGGGGGGAAAGTGACGGGTTAAGTTAAAAGAAAAAAGGAGGCAAAAAAAGCAATAAGGAATCCAGTTAGCACTAATTCAGGCAAGAGATGAAGAAGGTCTGAGCAGGAGGAGCAGGAGTAGGATGGAGAAAGAGAAAGGGACGAGAAGAAGCAGAATCAGAAGCAGAACCGTTTGGATGATGTTGGATGGGGTGTGTTTGTCTGAGCCTGAGTTCCTCCACAACCGCCCCACCACCTGCAAAGGCAGAATCCAAGACAGAGTGTGTGTGTGTAAGTAGGAGATTGGGCAAGGACCCCAGGGAGCGGGAGAGAGGAGTCGGAACAATAGAGCAAGAAAGAACAAAGCAATACCAGAATGAGGAACTTGATTAGTGACTCTATATCTCTAAGACCTTTGAGCAGCCATTCCATCCCACACTGGCTCGGGGTGTTCCCGTGGGTGTCCACTGCCCAGCAGACCCCTGGTTCCTCAGGTGTCCCGTGTCACCTCAGAGAAGTGAGAGGTGCTGAGCTCAGCTCTATGTTTGACTCTTTTTAACAGCAACTTTTTCCTGGTTTTTGAATAAGGGGCCCTTCATTTTCATTTTGCACAAATTGTGTAGCCTGTCCTGACTCCTACAAGGGAGGCAAACTCCAACACAGGTCCTACCTGATGATAGTCAAGGTGTTAACGTGTCATGATCTTATTTGGAGGACGGGTGGTGTGTGTGTGTGTGTGTTTCCAGTTTGCATTAGACCCTGTGCATGGGAACAGGCCCAGGGTTTGGAGCTCAGGTGTGCTATTACTGCCATCTTGTGTTCAACTCGTGCACAACACAGAGCTCTGGAGGAGACTCCCAGGCAGGGGCACTGGGGCTGCTAGCAGAAGTAGGTGCAAAGACCACCCACACTCCATGGCCAATACATCAAGAATGTTTCTATTCAGCTGGTGGTGTTCCATGAAGACGGACTATCCATACACACCATTTCAGAGCCTCTGTGTGTGTGTGTGTGTATCTGTGCCTTTCTATTTCTACCAGCACGTTCTTTCCCTTCACACTCACCTTCCTCTTGTTTGTAGTTCCTCTCATAGCTGAGAGCCCCTCCCCACACTGAGAGCCCCTCAATTCTGTTTCTTTTGTTATTTCTCCAGCTCTCCCTATGTGGGGGCCTGGCTCTGAAGGCCCCTCCTGGACAGTTGATTGGGAAGCAGGGGCCAAGCCAGGAAGGAAGTCAGGCCCTGAGTCAGCCTGGGCAGGACAAGGACTCTAAGGACAGACACTCACCAAGTAAGTATTTTACCATGTGACTCTGAAGTTTAAAAACATATTTATCTATATTTTCCTCTTTGTAAGGTTTGTTAGCATGTAACTCTTTTATCTATCTAAATACTAGTATATTTTGATAAATGGTAAGAGGTAAAAATACAATTGAAACATTTTTCCCCAAAATCTTTAAATTCTTGTTCCAGTACCACTTGTTGAATGATTTTTATCCTTCCTTTCATATATAACCAAAGGTTTTTTTTTCTGGCCTATATATTCTAGTTAATTTACCTGTCTGTGGATTTTGGCACCAGTACCAAAGTAGTGTGGTCATGCTTTATAACATATGGCTTTTTAATATCTGGTAGGGCAAAACTATTAAGTTATTTTTCTTTTTCAAAAATCTCATAGCTTTCTACCTCCCTCCCATCCATTTCAAAATTATTTTGTTAAGAAAAATTTCATTGGGGTAGTGATTGAATTGGCACAAAATCTATACACTAACCAACTGATACGTCTTATAAGGAAGGGTTCCATGAGAGTTGGGCCTGTGTCCCTGAGCTGTCATTTCTCCAGAGGACAGTGTGGAGTAGGGATTAACAGTGTGGACTGTGGCCTAGGACTAGCTCTGTGAACTTGGCAAGTCTAACCTCACTTTCACAATCTATACAATTGTTTTATCATTGTATTAGGCCTAGAATCAACATGGTGACTAGGAACAATCCCTCACAATCAAATCTCAAAACATTTAACTCTTAAATTTTACTCTGTTCACCCCAAAAGTAACTTTTAAGCCTCCAAAGGAAAGACAATATGGAAACAGCAAAGGCACTATAACTGGCAGTGGTGGCTATCTCTACCCATATCTAAGCCTATAGTCTCCAATTGACTCCAATTGAATATAAGCATCAGAAGGGCAGGGATTTTTTCTGTCACCCCACTTCACACACAGTGGTATATAATAGGCACTTACAATGAATTTATTGATTGAATAAATGAATGATGATGGTTCTCCTGATAGTAGAATTCCAGGACAGAAAGCCCAACTGCCTTACCCACACCTGTCAAATAGCCAGGGAGACTTGTAGACTCCTTGGGAGAACTCACGATAAAGTGAGCCTTCCTTTGGCCTTGCCCAACTTCCCACACATTAATGGAGGAGGGTGCATTGGAGGGGGAGGGGGAGAGAAAATCTTAGGCTGTTTTACAAAACCAACACAATTAATTAAAGAAGACCCTGGCGCCTGGCCAGAGTGGCTCAGTGGATTGAGCATGTCCTGTGCACTGAAGGATTGCCAGTTTAATTACTGGTCAGAGCACATGCCTGGGTTCAATCCCTGGTCAGGGCAAGTATGGAAGGCAATGATTGATGTTTCTCCCTCACAACGTTTCTCTCTCTCTCCCTCCTCTCTCTCCCTCTCCCTCTCCCTCTCTCTCTCCCCGTGTCCTCCAGTGAGGATTATAAAGAAAAGAGACCCTGGAGTCTTATCTCACTATTTCTGATCTCCCTACCTTACCAGCCATTAGATTGCTTTAACCTCTTCTCTTACAATGAAAAACAGTCTAATAACATAATAATACTGTTTAAGATACTGTGCACATGTTCATAGTAGCATTATTCACAATAGCCAAAAGGAAGAAGCAAAGCAAGTGTCCATCTACAGATGAATGGATAAACAAAATGTGGTATATCCATACAATGGAGTATTTATTATTCAGTCATAAGAAGGAGTGAACTATTAACACATGCTATAACATGAATGAATCTCAAAGACATGTTAAGTGAAAGAAGCCAGTTGCCAAAGGACAAGTGTATGATTCCACTTCTTTAAGCTACATAGAGGAGTCCAATTCATAAAGATAGAAAGCAGAATGGTGGTTGCCCGAGGCTAGCAGTGCAGGGAAATGGGAAGTTATTGTTTACTGGGTACATAGTTTTGCAATATAAAAAGTTTGGGAGATGTGGTGGTTATCATTGCACAGTCATGTGAATGTACTTAATGCCACTGAATTGTACACTTAAAAATGAATGGGATGACCAGAAAGTTCCCTGTACTATAGACTGAATTCAGCAGTTTTAAAATGGCAAAGTTCCCCTTCCAGTACAGAATATGTATGTGTGTATATATAGACATAAATGGGAGCTCTATCATTGCTATCATCAACATGATCATTATCACCATTATAATGGAAAGAGATTTACAACATCTACAGGCGGGATGACAGAGGAGTTGACAATAATTGTAGGTTTCTGGCGAGTAGCCCCCTAAACTGAATGGAGGATATGTGAGCAGGAGCAGGTGAGACGGGGGACTTAGGGGAAGAGACTTTGGTGATCATGAATGGTAGGTGGGGGCAGGGACTGAAGGAAAGGACTTGGGTAGGAACGAAGGCAGCTTAAGAGAATAGGTAATAAAGCAGGAGGAAAGGGAGCATCAGGCTGCCCAATCGATATCAAAGCTGCGTTCGTAGGTTTGCAATTTGCCCAAGAACAGTTAATTATCACGGGAACGCACATTCTGTAACTAACCCCTCCATCCCGCAGGGCGCAGACCCGCCCGCCGCCACGCCAAGC